AGTCTGACACGATTGTCGACACCGCGATTGATAAGGAGGCTAGAGATAAGCCGAATGTCTTCTTTGTAGGAAATGGGGATTGCTACTCTCACATCGACTACTACAACTCCATAGACCAAGGCAACGTCGATGGAGTAATGCTCGCAAGAGGAGCTTTGATAAAACCCTGGCTCTTTGAGGAAATCCAAAAAGGCCAGTATTTGGATAAATCCGCCACCGAGCGTCTAGACTACATCCGTGAGTACGTTCGATACGGACTTGAATGTTGGGGCAGTGACGAGCTCGGTGTTGCTACTACTCGTAGATTCCTCCTCGAATGGCTCAGCTTTGGATGCAGATATGTGCCTATTGGGATCCTCGAGAGATTACCTCCTCGGATTCAGGACAGACCTCCTCCATGGAAGGGAAGGAATGAATTGGAGTGCTTGCTTGGCAGCTCGGATTATAGGGATTGGATTAAGGTCTCAGAAATGTTTCTGGGGCCTTGTCCGAGTGATTTTCACTTTACGCCTAAGCATAAGGTTTGCAAGGCTCCTTCACTTCTTAGGAAACTGAAGGCTAACAAGTGGATTAGAGTAACGCACATGAGGAGACCGAGGCGGAAGGGTAGTTGGCGATGGGCTTCGACAACGTGCGATATCCTATACTCACCACGGGCTCTTCGTTTTTACAAGGCTCTTAGGCACAAAAAATAAATAGCAATGGGCTTGATAACGTGTCAAAAATCTATTTGTAAATCACACTAAATTTTGCTCTTTTGCAACTTAATTTCGCTGTAAATCTCGACAAGGCGAGTGAAATAGTTCCTGAGCAGTGGAGTCTATAACGTATTTCATCTGCGTGCTACATAAAGGTTACTCAGGCTGTGTTTGCCTTATCGCACTACACTTGCTTGGAGCTAATGTTCGGTGCGGTGCAGTATTGGAACCAGGGACGCTGTGAAGTTGCTGGTATACTTGAGCGTTACAAAAGTTTCCGGAAATGTGGACTTTTGCTTGGCGCTAAATTTGGTGTGGGGGCCTTATAAAAAGCGCCAAGCCTAGTCTCCACATTTCTCAAAACTTTTGTCATGCGCAAGTAGAGGTCAAGCCTTGATTTTTGTACCGAGAGATATCGTAAAGATGACATGACGACATCTCTAAATAATTTACTCGTACAACAGGCTGCTAATTTTCCGCAACCGGTGTAATTACTGGAACTCGCACGGTTCACAGGTTCACAGCAACCGTGGCCTTTCGCCTGCCTTGCTGGGGGTGACGTATGAGCTGTCTTGGTGATATGTGGCTTGCACCACAAACTAGGCAACGGTAAAGCCACTTTCCCAATTTCACACGCAACTTGACACCAGCCCACAACCCACAATTTCTTCCTTCCTGCTCCTCCACCTTCTTTTCCCCTCCATAACCTTACGACTCTCTACAAGTACCTCTACGGTTCCTTTCTTCTCTTTCTTCCTTCGATATCAACTCCTGTCGAGACGTTCAACTACTTTACACGATACCCACGCTGCACAACGGAGCACAAGTTACTGTGCATTGAATAAGATTTACGGAAAAAAGCCCCCCTAATCGTTTTTTCATAACGAGCCCATCATGACGCTTTACTATTCTTTGGTATATACCCTTTGCTATTCATCGTCCAATTAGATGGAGACGAGTTTGTTGTCTTTTTACATACACGTCTACTTCACTCTACTCTATTGTTTTTACTGCAGAGCTATGACGTAACAAACAGACAAATAAACAAACAAACAACGATATGTAACTGGGAAGTTTGCTAATGAGATGCATCTATGTAGGTATTTGTCTTGCTCATGGTAGAGATGGCAGTCTACCTTCTTATGGTCTTGCCGGTCCCGTACTCCCCAAGGATGCGGTTTTTCACCTGGATTTCGACGAGTGCAGTTGTGGGAAAGATACAGTACTGTCTTAAGGTTGGCTTTCCTTGTCTAATTAAACTAGTGAAGTGAATTGGGTATTGACGAGACAAAAAAATAGATTACCTTCGTCTTCATCTTGATCCTGTTCATCGATTCCGTCAACCGCGTCTACCGTGTTCAGTCTGAGCTTTCGGAGAGTAAACATATGGGAGGTCAAAGCGTTATGGGGCATGAACGCATGGAGGTTCAGGCTAGGAAGTTCTATTCCCAGCGTAACATGTATGAGGGTCTACTCTATCGTTTTGATCTTGGGAGCCGTTTAACTAATGGAGTATGGTCGCGCATAGGTACCTTTGCGGATTCACGCTCTTCTTGTCATTCATTCTTGATCGCACCTACGCTTTGACTCTTGAGAACTTGCAACTCCATACCACTGTTAAGCAGTTGAGGAGCGATAGTGCGAAGCTGACTGAGGGCGGTGCTGATGAGCTGAAGGAGCAATTGGCTGCCGCAAAGAGGGATACTGAAGTCATGAAGAAGCAGGCTGAAGGTTTGGCCAGAGAGTTCAATGCGTTGGCTGACCGCTATTCTGAGGCTACTGGCGGAGAGAAAGTTGCCAAGAAGGAGCTCTAGGCTTGGAACATTAAGCTATGGAGTGGAAAGAGAGGCCTTTGTCTCCGTGTTGCAGCTAGTTAGTGCTAGTATGGAGAGCATTTGATAATTATTTGTGGTTCGAGGGCTCGAAAATTTGCTTTTGGTTCATCGGGTGTTTATTGCTTTGACTAGGGCTTGTTTTTCTACTTTCCTTTATTTCCTAGGAATGGTTTGGTGCAAGGCTACGAAGATTCAATCTTATATCTTATGCTCCAGAGCGATTAAGTGAATTCGGCGTGGTTGTCGAGTTCGCGGCTATTCGCGTGACGTCTGTCAAGGTGTGAGGTCACCGCAGAATAGCTTATTCACTCTAAATATTTACCATGTCGAACTCTAAGCTTTCTGGCTGTGGCCTTTCTTGGGTTGTTACCCTTTCCATTCATAGACATCCTTCGTGAAACCACAGGACTCATTTACGCATGGCGAACGTCGTATGGTTCCAACGCTCAAGTGACTCCACCCTCCTTTTCTCCGAAAGTTCGAGGTTTCCCCCTAACCATAGACTCGAGAAAGGGGGAATCTAGCCTCTCCTCACTTCATTAGCCTGGCTCAAAATCTACTCATCCCTATCGTACCGGTATTTCCTATCCTGGCTTTGTGTTGGCCTGTGACAAAAAACCAACTCCCGGTATACACTCCAACATGCTTGTTAACATTCGCAAACCAATTGATCTCATCCGAGGCCACCCATCGACCCGCCTTCTTGCAACGGACCTGATACGTGAGTCCGCTGCTAAGGTCCTTAGCTCGGACTTTTCACAGGATAGCCGCGCCCGGGTTCCTCACCCGTTGCACTACGGACCCGATATGGGGAGGGAGGATTTGCGCGCTGAGATTGGGAGATGGACTGCTGGGCGATACAGGCTTAAAGAAGATATTCCTGCGTATGTTTCCTATCTGCTTAAATTACAGTCAGGAACGTAGGGCTAATGGATGCCTAAACTCTAGGGAGAGAATTAATATCACCTGCGGGGCGTCGTATGGACTTATGGCTACACTTTTGCTGTGCACTAGCCCTGGAACTGGGTACACTAAGCAGGTATTCGTCGTTAGTCCGACCTACTTTTTGGCAGCGAGTGTGTTCGAAGGTTTGTCTTTTCACAATTGTATTCGTGACATGGATGGGCATGGTAACTAGAGGCTACTGTTATAGACGCTGGGTTTTCCGGGAAGTTGACCGCCATAAAGCTTCACAAGAATACCATTGACACCGACTCTCTGGTGGCTCATCTAAAGCGTATTTCTACCTCTACTCCGGATGTCCAGCTCCCATGCGGTCTAGAGCCAATCTCTCGAGCCGGGGTTACAAAGCGCATCTACAAGTTTGTTATGTATTGTGTTCCTACGTACTCGAACCCTACTGGAGAGAGTTGGGATTTGGAGACCCGGCGTAAGGTCGTTGAGATTGCTAGGAAGTGGGATATGCTCGTCATCAGCGACGATGTGTACGACTTTCTCGGCAATGACGGCGATACCTCTGCCCTTACTCCGGACAAGAAGTTACTGCCTAGACTCGTCACTTTGGACCATGAAATCGACAAGGAGCAGGGTATGGAAGACAATGAAGCTGGGTATACTATCTCCAATTGCTCGTTCTCAAAGCTACTGGGGCCAGGTTTAAGATGTGGCTGGATCGAGAGCGCTACAGGAGTGTTAGCAAAACAACTGGGCGAGGGCGGTGCGGCCCGTAGTGTATGTCTTACCCTTCATATCGCCCTCCTGCTTCCCTTAGCCGTAAACTGATAATTATATACTGTAACTAGGGCGGCACACCCTCACACTTTGCTTCAGCCCTTATCTATCCCCTTATCACTAGCCGCTCAATTGATAGCACGATCTCAAACCTAACAAAGACCTACACTGCCCGGAGCGCCGCTATTATTGCTGCTATTAAGACCTACTTTCCAGAAGAAACCACTATCTATGGTGGCAAGGGTGGGTTCTTTATATGGATCATACTCCCAGACCGGTACAACGCCCGTGAGATTACGAACCTTGCTGCAAAGGACGTAATCGTGCTCAATGGCGACAAGAGCGAGTGCCCTGGCGACGCGCTTGGCTGGGGCGATCATTGTATTAGGGTTTCCGTGAGTTATCTTGAAGCGGATGTCGCAGTAGAAGGGATTAAAAGGTTTGCGGAGGCTATGAAGAGGTGGGATAATGGCGAGAGGAGCTCCTCAGGGGTAGACCTAGATGTGAAGTAAAAGAACAGTTGTTTAGCAAGAATTGTTGCGGAAATACGTTATGGGAGAAGGATACGATAGTGAAGCCAGGTTAATTGTCGAAGAATAGGACTCTGGCTGTTACCACTGCAAATTGGGCGTGGATATATGGTGCCAGAAGTCGCAGGGGGGAAAGAAGTGTTTAACCCTCCCACTTCGGCTTCTTTGATTGGCCAGACTATTTTGAAGTTTAGAACCACACTGGGACCTGAATACTCGAGTACCTGCACGCAAGCCACTCACTCTGCTCTGACTCGGATTTAAACCGAGGATCTCCGCATTACTAGTGTGGCGCCTTACCGACTTGGCCACCAGAGCGGGTGTGTATTCGCAGGTTCCCATGAAACGGTTTTGTTTCTTTAATTTAGCAAACGAGAGAAGAGAAGAGAAGAGAAGGGCTTCGGTAAGATGTCAGCAGCGGTGGTAGCCGCTGCTGGCTGCTATCACAAGATACCGGTACGGCACAAGTATTATATATAATTCACATTTGGTTTTTGCAAGTTTCTTTGTAGTGGAGTGGAGTGTCAGATGAAGTAATGGGAGAAATTAGTGGCTGGTTGGATACCGGTAGATAGTATCTCCTTCCTTGAATGACCATATACACCGGTTACTAGTGCTGAAATATATTATAACACGCAAAGCTTCTTTCACTCCCACTCTCACCCGGATATATACTAGCACTGTATTGTGTTTCTTTTTCTCAACCCTAACCAAGCATTTAATTTCACGAAAGCCTTCCGAAGAGTACTCGTCGTGTCGTGACGTTTGTGAAATGGACCGGGCTTGCATAGTGGCGCAAGGAGGTGCATATTGGCATGCAAGTGCCGAATACAGTAATAATAATAAATATAATGGTACATGCTGAGGAGAAAGGAAATAAACACATGATACCCATCGAACATTGTAAGAAAGTAAATAACCAAATGAAATTAAATAACCAAATGAAATTAAACAAAAATTAAAAATTAAAGTTATTTCCTCCTTCATCCTCAATACAAGCTCTTATTCTTTCGGACATAGAATTAATATGATAGTTAATGCGCTCTGCTGGATATTCTGTCCATGCCTAGAGTTGAACCAATGTAAGTATTTTAGAAAATAAATAATAATATTAGAAATTGTATCGTACCTGCTCCAAAACCAAGCGAATTTGCTGGGCAGTCATGCGAGGGCCTATCTGCTCCTTTAGTAGATCCTTGAGCTCCATCCAGATTGATTCTATGGGGTTCAAATCTGGAGAGTTTGCGGGCCAAATGATTTTGGAAAATCCAAGACGCTGGCGAGGAATATTATGATAATGGTGTATATGTGCCGGAGCATTATCCTCCATAATCATAATATTCCTGGCCGCAGGAGGAAATTCTATAAGGAGCTGGCGAGTTAAAGGGTATAGCAATGGGTGCAATATACCCTCCCGGTAAATATACCAATCAATGCCACCTCGGCGGTCTGCCTTCCTTGTTTTCAATTCAGGATTGGGGTACGGTATCTCCTCTCCCATTTCCACCGCTAATGCATTTTGTACTAACTCATTTTCATACTCTCTCCTTAATACTAGCAAAGAGTCTCTTAGTTGTAGTGGGGTTTCATATGGTGTTGTATACATATGATATGGAAGTTGATTACCTGTATATTAATTATTAGTATTAAACATTAAATACAAATAAAGTAAACACTGTAGACTATGATACAAATATTAATCAAAGATTTCTAATTACATACCAGACTTTCCATAAAAAATAGCCCCCCAGAACATCACGGTTGCCCCTTGGGCGAATTTTCTATCGATGTTTTGTGGGTGATATGCTTCTCCTGCTCGACGCAAAACACCACAAGCACGGCGGGAACGCAGATTGCCGGTCTCAAAGTAGGATTCATCAGTAAAAATGAGATCCTGCCAGTTGCGCCCCTCATGCTGGTGGCAGAAAGCAAGCCGTCTTGCCTTCTGGACATCGCTTAGGGTTGGCTTCTTTACTGGTTTTCGGCGATAGATTTTGTTTTCTCGAAGAGCTTTGGAAATAGTTTGTCTACTAACATCAAGTTCAGCTAATATTTATTAAATTTTATATACATCATTAGCAACTATTGTACATATAGCTTGAGAGTTATTAATAATAATTAAAAAAAAAAAAAGGAATTTTCTACCTGCTTCAGCTAACTGACTATAGGTCATTCGACAGTGATCTGCATCTTGGAGAGTTACCTCAACAAGATGCTCTTTCTGAGCTGGTGTAAGTGCCTGATTAGCTCCTTTCACCGAGTTGGGAAGTGGGGCCAAGTTTTCATCGGCACAAAGATCAGCAATTCCATTTTCGCTGGCTCGCTGGCGTGCAGTTCGAATAATATTTGAACAAGTACTTATTAGTACTCCCGTTCGTTCTGAAATGGCCTTCAAGCTCATCTTCTCCCTTCCTTCAAGCATTGCATACCCCACAATTTGCCCCCTCTTCCCCATAGATGGTGTACGCCCTCGTGGTGTGGCCATTGCTTTGATAATAGTAGATTTCTTATTGATTTCAAGTAAAGATCAACAACTTATTGAATACTTTACACGATGGTGAGCTTGCTATATTAACAATATCAAATCTAACTATTTGTCCTATTCTAATTGGTCCTTACTCACTCTAGGTACCTCCCTGCATTCTCATGCACCTCTTTCCGCCACCATGCAAGCCCGGTCCATTTCACAAACGTCACGACACGACGAGTAAGTATTTGCTTGCACCCAGTTACGTAATTGAATAGACCCGAGACTACTATTATAATAATATTATTATCATACTCAACAAAAACTAAATCTGTCCTTTTGGCTCATAACCGTCATGGATTAGAAACATATCCATGATTCAGTGGTGTAGAGGTATCATGGGCGCTTGCCATTTCACAAAAAAATGTGCGCCCGACCCGGGTTCGATTCCCGGCTGAATCAATTTTCTTTTTTGCTTCTGGGGGTTTGTTGGGTTGGTGCTTGGATGGGGTTTGCGTTATATTGTGGGGTTGGATGATGATTTTTGAGGTTTGTTTACATTTGCTGTGTTTGGAGAGGGGGGGGATGGTGGGTAGGTGGGTGGTGGTAGGAAGTGTGAGCGTGGAGATATATCGTTAACTTACCAGTTTGGTGTTAGTTTGGTGAGGTAGTAGCACTAACATTGATACGTGCCGATGTCAAAAATTCTTCAGATATCGGGACATATATTGGCAAAGATGCCTGTCAAACTTTTGCAGCTATTACCGGTACTGTAACCTGCAACTATCCTATGAGTTTTTCTTCCTTTTTCCATCACCAGTCCAGTCTGTTCCCTTCCTTCCTGCTATGATAGCTTACCGGATCAAGTTCATAGGAACCTGAGACTAAGTTAAGTCACTAGCCCTGGGATACCGGTATCTCGCTCAGTTCCCGTAATCCCCTACCTAACCTGCCTCTAGCGGTTAGTTGTCTTCAACAAAAAGCTCCTATGATAGCTTTGTGTCTAGGCTAGAGTTCTAGTTAAATATATTTTTAAGGCCCCCCCTACTCGAGTGTGGGGCTAGGGGATGGGGTGTTCTTTTAAGTGTTTGGTTGGCATCAAAAATTGATAGTGATGGTGCTGGTGGAGAGATTCTTGCATGACTTATGATGCTGAGTATTGATATTAAGAACAGGGGGGGGTGGAATTTGAATATATTGTTATCCCTTGGACGGATAAGACTCTCAAATCCGTTGCATGGCTCGTGCACAGCTTTTACAGAGACTTGATTGGAGGATAGCCAGGCCGTGATTAGGAATTCTTGTGAATAATTTCTCGTCACTAAGAAAAGTGATGTCGCGCAAGTCATGCAACAAGTTTGAGAGTCTCATCCGTCCAAGGGATAATACCCTGATAAAAACGCCGTTATGCCTTGCCTTTGCTCATGAAAGTGACGACTATTTATAAGCATGAATTATGAAAATGGTCGTAGGGCCGTGAACTACATGGAAACGTGAGAAGAAAAAAAAAGGTTGAAATCATGATCTCGTGTGCATGTATCCTTTTATACCGCCGAAAATTGTGTAAAAATGAGCCCACGAACCTCCCCCTCCTCCCCCCCCCTCTCAGATATTCCTTAAATCCTCTCCTCAACAATGTATTCCCCAGTCCTCGGACTCCTGTGGCGATGTCGGTGACGTCTCGAATGGCGTTGAGCGTACGGGTCCGCAGCACGAGTTGTATAAACCTTTTCCACCATTTGGTCCTCCTCTTCGTTGTTCCTGTAAACGGTGGCCGCTAGGAGAGCTGTGATGAAGAAAAGTATGATGTTCGTGATGCCGAGACCCCATGCCGCCTTCGCGAGAGAACAATTATGGTTGTTACTCCAGACGCGAGTATTCCAGTCATTGAAATTCACCCCAGATGGCCAAATCTTCTCGCCGTCCGACGTGATTATCGCACCGGTGACGGGAGCCATGACGCATTGGACGCTGGCGATGTTGGAGAGGAGAACCACGCCTGCGATGAGTGCCGCGAAGAAGCCAATGTCGAAGATGGTCATCCACAGCGCTGTGTTCCGTGCACGCATGGCAGTGATGAGGACACAGAAGGACCATATCGATGCGAGGAGGGCGACGATGAAGAGGCAGACAATGCCGGATGGTGGGGCGACGCCATTTTTGTTGTACACACTAATTAGGGCCGCTAGGATTGCCCAGCATGGGATCAATGTTAAGACTTCGAGGACGCGGAATATTATATGGGCGGCCGAGGCTTGGTCCATTGAGTGTGTTTGGGTGAGGAAGTTTTGAGGTTTAGGGGTTGAGGGGTAACCAGATTGGTTAACTTTCGAGAGGGTCTTTCTTGGGTTCTGAGCGATTGGCAGATATAAGTGCTTAAATCTACTTAACGGTAGACCACCGCAACGGTAGACTAAGTATTAGGGGCTCGTGGAATTTGAGATCCAGGAGAGATAAATTGCCTAGCACTTGACATCTCGATGGCGGATGTCGGAGCCTTGATATACTCGAGTAGCTTTGTGTCTAAAGAGTCTTGATCGAGGTAACAAAACATCTATCACAAAATTTGGGTAATTGGGAAGGAATAACTTAAGCCTTATGACGATTGTGTGAAGTAATACTTGGTAAATTAACGTGGGGCCAACTTGGTTCATTGCTGCCTTCATGGGTTCGACGTCACTTTGCAGGGGTTCGGAAACTAGGGCTCGCCAATCACAGAGCATCTTTGTGCGCAGGAAACCGCTCAGTGGCTGGCTTGCATACCACAGACAATTCAGCCGTAAAAATAGTCTGAGTCCTTCAAAAAAAATGAGTGTCAGTGTAAGTAAAAAGCTGCAGACCACTTAAAAAGAAAAGGTCAGTCCTTGGTACCCTTTTGTTTGGAAATAGAAGATGAAAAGAGAAAAAAAAAGAGTAATTAAGCTGGAAAGTTTCATCATCAGGCTTCTTCTTCCAGGTATGTAATTACTCGTAGATGGGTTGCGTTGCCAAAATTCCGACTCATCCGTGCATCGAAACCAATTCCTCCACAACCTTTATTTTTCCAGAGCATTTAATTGGCCTAGAGCACTAATGGTGTCCTTGCATCTCAAAAAATTTTACTCAGTGGGATATTTCGCATGGCGCCCTGACAGCTTTGACAGGCTCAGAAATAGACTACCGGTAGGCGTCTGTCTGTTTGAGTAACAGCAGCCAGCTCAGCTTTTCTATCGTCGGGCTGGCTGCTAGATCACTGTGGCCTGGCGGGGCAAGCGGTGAACACCTGATGGCGCTCAGACTTCTGTCCCCCGGCCTTATCGTTGCCCTTTAGCCCGGGGTCTCGTCAAGTCTGGCCCGGGCTCGTCTTGTAGAGACATACCATGTCGTTGCTGGTTCATCGTTTTCTGTATGGAGCTCGGGAGTTTCGGGACCCTGTCGGGACACCCTTCCGGACCTGGCTCCGGACAGGGGCCGGCAGTGGGAATGTGCTGAGCAGTGTAGGGGTCTCGAATACCGGTAGATGCAACATCAAATAATGAGGTAAATGCAAGGACTTGAGTAAGGCAGGATGCGTGCTCGGGGTGTGTGTAAAACAACCTTAGTTTCTTAGCGTTGCTCCTGCCTGACCATCTTTCATCTAAGCAAGCTCAGAGTCTCATAGTTTCTGTGTGTATAATAAAGCTGCACTGTACGTGTTAGCAATTTGTGGTAGTCACTGATAAGAAGTAAAGACGGAAATACCTACAGTACATTATGTAGATAATAACTGCAATCTTGCGTTGGGATTACTGGGAGAAATTTACCAACGGTGGATAATTTAATCACCAAAATTGATAACTTCTCATCCCTGGCTCTATCACCTGTGTTTTTGATACAATGTGCCTCACAATTGAGCGGTACGGCATTTTGCAATTGTTCTACGCTCGGGTTCTAATCGTAGTGTGGACGGCGAGGGCCGTAACCGCTTCTCCTACCGTAACTTATGCCCCACCATGCCAGGAGCCCCCCCCCCCGCAAGGCTCCTGAGCTAAGATGCGCCTGGATCTTAGAGCTCCGATACCCTTAAACCGACCACCGATCGATTGCCACCCAGGAGAGCGGGGGAGAAGCCCAAGCAAGCAGTGGCAACTTAGATCATTTCCATCGCCAAGACTGATAAGAAGTATTATAGTTGTGCAGCTATCATAGGAGGTCTTAGGACGCGGCAACTCATTTAGATCTTGGGTGCCCATCAATAGCAATTACCGCAACCTTGAAAGCTCGAAGGGGGGGCGAAAGGCTGGAAGATATCCCTTAAGATGAGCGAAATCATGTTATATTTCTCTTTGGTTTCCAACGTTAAGAGCAGGGAGAGTCGGACAATTTAGGAAAAATGGTGGGGATTAAAATTCAAGGGACTAATGGAGTTTGCTTGACGACTGTAGAGTAGTCTATGGTGCCTACGAGTCAATTGGCCATAATACCATACTGGGAAAGAAAAGTACAGTAACCATGTTATAACAGAATTAATAGCCAATCTAACCCCACGAGTTCTGCTGTATCCAGCAATCTATCATACAACAAAAAAGAAAAGGGGAGTGGGGAAAGGAATCCCAATAGTTGATTCAGCCGGGAATCGAACCCGGGTCGGGCGCACATCGTGAAATGGCAAGCGCCCATGATACCTCTACACCACTGAATCAGTTTGTACTGCCAAAGTTTTTCTAGTCCAAGTTCTTAATCAGTACTAGTGGTTCGAAGTTTCCCATACTGCCCAAACCGAGCGCACGAATAGCCCACAAATACATGTGTAGGTGTACCGGTATGGCGCCAGAAGCGGTGGAAGGGAAGTGTGTAACCCCCCACTTCGACTCCTTAATTGGTAGAAGGGAGTTAACTAGACTACCGATATTTTGGAGTTTAGAACCACCCTGGATTGAATATTCGCACGCAAGCTACTGATTCCAGGATTGCACACACTCCCTCCATCGCTTCTGACACATATTGCTTTGAATCTCGATCTCTATAGACTTCCACCAACGTAGGTGTATTGCTTGATTTTTACTCTGTAGGTACTAGGTATCCTGACCCAAAATATTAGTTTTTTACTAACCATTGTGTAACTCATCTACAGTCTTTACTTCAACAAAATTTTGTACCATTCTGTTCTTGACTGGATTTGCATGGCATTAAGTGGTATCTAGAGGTGAAATGGACTGATCCTGAATCCTGATTCTGCGTCTCATCTTGATACTACTGCAGGTGTCCTATGGGGTGTTTTTTACCATCTTGTGAGCGTCTTCCAAAGCCCCCCCTATCCCACTTAGGGCGAAAAAGTCGCATATAATAATTTAAAGATCTTGGATGCGGAGGGCGGTTGCAGCACATATAAGATTTCGCAAAATTTTTGTTTGGTCACCCATTATAACTCTCACCCTAAATTTAAGCACCTACGATAGTGTTGCAAACTAAGTATAGGTCCTTTTCAAAAGAGAGTATCATACTGAGTAAAATAACTCTACCTCTGTACTGTACCGGCACTCGGTGTGCCAGGTGCCTTCTCACTAGAAGGCTTGCTGTGTACTGTATTTTCCAAAAGACACACCTCTACCGAAAGACACTTACCTGCCTTCTATGTATCATGCCGGGAACTTCAAACCTCCCTACTTGCTCTTCATGTGAATTTTGCCCCACTCCTACCGACTGGGATCGCAACAGTAAACAGCGGCATGGATTGCCGAACCGATCAGGGAAGCTACCTGCTTGATACTCCTCTAAACTGAATCTTGATGGATGACGGACACCGGATTTCGACCGGAGCAATTGAGTGATACCGGCGGTGAGAGGAGATTTTTCAAGCATTGCACCTGCTCATCATAGAGTTGTAGAGAAGGGGGAATCTACCTATTATGATTTTTTACTAGGAAATGGTAACAAACGTGGTAATCACCTTAAGTTTGTATCCTTAAAGAAAAGGGACAAGATGAAATAGAAGGATTCCAAAGGAAATGAAATCCACTCCTAGGTTATTATTCCTACTGACAAATATAGTAGGAGTGTAAGGTGCCCATTGAAATTTGAAAGTCATAGCATGTTCGGGATCTCATAGAAAACAAAGAAAATAAAATGGAAGAAGGTTAAAGATACACAAGGAAATAGAAATATTGAATTCATTTGTTCTCTAATACCGGACAACAATCCATCACCAACAATCCCCCTCATCAATGCCACATTCCTCAACTATCATGGTCAAATTCAATACTTTGAACCACCGAATTGTTGGAAATAGTTCTAACGCGAGGAACCTTCCTTGGTGACCTAAGTTCCCGAACTAGAGCTTCATAGTCGTCAAAAGAAAAAAGATCCTCCTGACATTCCAAACATTATCCTCTCGACTCAATCCATTATGTTATTGAAAGAAGAACTAACATTGTTATGGTATTCATCATCAATAAATAAAGGAGCAGGTGTAGCTGGAGGCTCGCGAGCAAAGATTCTGTTAATGAATTGGACGAATTTGTCGAACATTATCATCTTTTGTTTTGTTTTTAGAGTTTTTATTAAGGTAAGAGAAGGGTAGATGTGCAGTGGTGCGGACTAGTAGGTGGATCTGCACTGCCTGGCGGTTACCTGGGAACTAATGAGTTTAGCTGATGGGAAATGAGTGAAACTAAATAGACTTGTGTGCATTTTGAAGAAGGAGGGGGCTTTGGTGTCATTCTACTGCACGTATCTGGTCTTTTACCGACGGTGAGAGAGCTAGGTTTCAAGATGGAGATGTAGCATGCTATGGGGTACTGGAGAACAGGGGGATGAGATGCAGTGCCGATAGAGCTATAGGGATCGTAACACTTTGCACTCGAAGTAATCCTAGTTTTTGAGCTTTCCTTAGTATTCCTTTAGAAAAAGAAGAAAAAAGCAAGTTCAAGGTGTTGGCTCTGACGAAGCTTCACCGGATGGCTAATGCATTTTGACAGGCATTAACGCAACAGATAACATAAGTTACACCAGAAGCCTCAAGACAATATCACTGGCTAAAGCCCATAGTTAAGGGCTAAAGGTGCCTGAAGATCCCATTAGTTTCAGAGTCGCCGATAACCTCGGCTTCATACATACTCACTCGAGGCTGTTTCTCTTTTAGGGGCTGTTATGATAACTGTGGAGGCATCAAACCACTGATATAAATGAAGAGAGCGCAGGGGTTGACGCCGGATTATTACCCCTGTTGGAGATGGCCAATCCACTCCCTCCTGCACTAGGAGAGACTCTCTTAGAAGTTGGGTACATCTCGGGATCGTCCTGTCAAATATTTGGGCCCGATATCACTAGACGGCTAACGGTGGAATCTCTTACGTGCTAAGTACAACAGAGTTGGAAGGGTACAGTTACGGCTATCTAGAGTTTGGGATTTTATAGGTAGGGTCTAGTGACAGCAATTCAAGTGGCCTGACTTGACGGCCATGAGGTATTAGGGGTCTGAGAGACCCTAAAACCCCCTTAATATTAATATTATTAAGCAAATAAAGTCATCCACGATATTACAGCACCACAGCACGAGGGAGATGGGAACGAACGAAGGGATGATTCTCATAGATCATCGTGGATTGCGGCGTTAGGTTGACGAGAGTACTAGTAACTGTGGACCTTGTATTCTAAGTGCTAGGGTACAAATAGAGAACGACACCGACACAGCAAAAGTGGCCGCAGTTGCTATAAAAAGTGGTGCTGGTGTTTAGAGGTATCGGGGAAGTACTATTATACTGTGATCTACCAATTTAGTACGAGTACTGTGCGGTGCTAGTACCGGTAGAGTGGGTTAGATGAGGCTGCAATCCCCCCCCGCGTTTTAGCACGATACCCTATCAGTAAGCTCAATACAAAGTTCGTGGTTGTGGCAGGCGAGTAGGCTTTAGGGGAATCACGTACTATGGCACGCAGGACTTGTGGTTCCATGAATAGAGGAGCTCTGAGCCTTGGTAAATTACCGGTATTGACAGCCAGCTTGTTGAGATGGGTTTGGGTGTCGCGGTCCGGGATTCCAACTTATCGCTGTTAGCGTGGTAGTTGATGGCTTGGCAACGGTAGCCCTGCCGTCCAGGTGCTCGTGATAGGGTTCCCGCCTGTTAGCGGCCAAGGATTTCCCAACGGCTGAATGCATCCCTCCTACACCCCCCACCTTCTGCTTTACCACGTTCGTCCAAGGTGTCCGCTTCATTCACCATACTTCTTTTGATTGAAGGCATACTATCTTCTTCCATCGCAAGAGTCCGTCGGACAGCCAACCTCTCACTTGTTCTGTTCCTTTCTACGGTTATCAGGATGGAATCTCATGCCTCTTCCTCCCCAGAATTTCTTGACCCTCCAGCTTACCTTCAGACCTCACCACCACCCTCACCGGTCAGAATGTCGAAAATCAGCGCAAGCAAATCATCCCCATCTCGTCCTAAAACTCGTTTTGACAACTTCTCCACACACAAGCCGAACGTCAACAAGTATCGTGATGATAGAGCTGCTTCCCCGTCGGTTGCTTCCGATCTTGAAGACGTTTCGCCGTCCAGTAGCTTTAAGCTTCCACCACCTGCAGTAACAAGCTACGTGTATGCACCGAGCTCATACCCCTATGCTACGCAACGTTCTCCACTCCATAGCCTACAGAGGCAGACTGAGATCCTGACTGAGGAGCTGCAACACTTGTTAGATGTTCAGTCCGCTGAGCTGATGTCTGGAGGCAGTTTGTCTACATCTCAGAGACTCCCTAGAAATCCCTTATATTCTGCGGATCAAGTCCCCAGGGGGCAGAGGATTACATTACACCAGGCGAGGAAGAGAGTACTACTAACTATGCGTGAGTTGGCGGAAGTCAAGGGCAAAGAGGAAAAAGTGTACACATCAGAGGTTGTAGAAAGGGAAACATTGGTGAAGACCATGAAGAGTTGGGGAGACAAAGCATCCCTTTTAGAAAAGGAGATACGTAAGATTGAGGAAGGTGAAGAAGGAAGAGAGGCCCAGGCTGTAAGGGAAGCGAAAAGTGAGGTTGAGGTATTTGTAGTCCTACCTAATAATCTCATACATTGCTAACTATGGCTAGCGTGAGATGCAAGAACTTCGCATTCGGCTCTCAAAACTTGAGGATCATCATGCTGCCCTGAAATATAAGCTTGAGGAGTTGGAGTCCACTGTGTCATCAAAAACCTCCTCTTATCAGTCCGCCCTAGTAACTGTGAAGCAAAGAACGTCAAACTTTCTCACAATACATCGCTTCCCTTCCCCCACCACGGCTATCGAATCGTGGACCCTCGAGAGAGAAGCCCTTCTAGCTAAGAGAGATCAGGCTAAGGTTGAGGGCGAGGCCCTGCTTGAGGGGATGGTTTTGTGGGACGAAACACTTTCTCTTGTATATTCCTTCGAGGACAGATTAGGTCTACTAATATCCGGCAGGAGGGGTGGGGATATAAGCCGAGATATCATGCAAGGGCTTGAAGGTGTAGTTGAGGTACTTGAGCAGAAGCTCAATTCGGCAGAAGATAAGGGATGGAAGCTGTTGGTTTGCTGTATTGGTGCGGAGTTGGAAGCGTTCAAAGAAGCCAAAGAGGTAATGAAGAAGTCTCTGGGTGTCACCTCTGCACCGAGTACCAAAACATTAAAACTAGCATCGGTGGAGCCCGGAGGGGATGGGGGACGGGGGGGCGATCAAGGCCAAGA